AAAAGACATCAACTATTCTGTTCTTTAACATCTTTTTCTATCTTCGACCGGAAGATGTATGTGCCTATATTTACCTATTTGTTACAATTTATAATCGTGTAAAAAAAGAGGATTCAGTAAAGTTATGTTTGTAACTTGTACCACTGAAATTCGAACTCAATGATAATTACTAATAATAATTCGCTATACGCAGTCACTCAATTGAATTTTCAGTAAAATTTCGAAACAATCCACTCGAAAGTTCAATCCTACCGTCGTCTCTTTAAATTTCCATATTACATCTCGCTACACAGGTTTTATAGTTTTATAGTCTGTCGTGTAACAAAGGACATTAAACGAAATCCAAAGCACGCAATCGACGTTGTCGCAAGCACAGCGGTCCCCTCGAAAAACATTAAAGTCGCTTATGATTTTTCGAGCGTGTACAAACGTATTACGAGAGGGTGTAGCCATCCACGCTGTGTACTCACGTGCACTTCCTGATTTATGGACAAAGCTCACCAACCACGGGAGGTGTATAGCGTTCAAATATTGGCAACCGGTTCATTTTACATATTCAGATACTCAATGTTGACAATTGAAAACGCGCGTTTGCATTAGCGCTATTTAGAGCAAACATTTACGTGAAAAGCTTCTTGTTTGGCTGATTATATTAAATCGATTACGAAAAAGAAAAGTAATTTTCTAAATGAACCAACGATGAACAACTCTTGAATAAAATGACAAAGAATATCGAAAACTTTTCAATAAGATTAAAGATAACGATTGGATTTTATGGTTTTCTCACGTATCAATTTGATTTTTCACTTTTGTCTTCGTATTTAATGCCTCGTTGATACCAACGGTGATAAATTTCCATGTAAAATGGAGAAAAGTACTGAGAATTTTGTACAGGAGATAAAAATTTAATGAAATTTAATAAAACTTTATCTATCAATTTTCCCTTGTACCACTTTTTACTCATATCTTGAAGATGTTGACCAGTAGGCAATAACGATGAATAATTCCTGAACGAAATAAAAAAACAGACATCAAAATGAAATTTTGAAATTTAATTTTCTTTCCCTTTTCTTTCTATTGATTGTCTGTACATTCAATTAGCGAGCAAACAATAACAATAATTTCTAAAATAGACATCGAAAATCTGAAATAAAATGAAAGGCGAAAATGAAATTCAATCTTCTCTTTTTCTTCTTTTTATTTATATAGATCTATCATCTTGTAGATACGACTCACATATATTAATATTTTGTCACAGAAAATAGCGGTATCCGAAAGTTTTACAATAAAAAGAAAAATTTGGTTCCCCGTTTATCTGATTTTTATGTACATGGGTACGACTAGCAAGACAGTAAACAACATTCAAGCGACATTTATTATCACCTAATTCGTTGCCAACGCAGACGAGGTAAGTTTTGGTGGCGTCGTTGGAAACGAGAGACGTGTCATTTAGCCGGTGTTCGAGATAATGAAATTTAAACGAAGCACTCGAGAGCGACCGCTCCAAAATTTCCATAAAGTTTCACCGGCACGCGTGCGAGCTTCCAGGGAAATTTGTCGTCGGAAATAATTGTGAATTCCCCCGGCGCGACACGTGTACACACGTTCCTGTATTTATTTCGTATTTTTCTTTCTCTCTTTCTTTTTTTCTTTCATTGCTTTTCGTTTTATATAAGCAATTCCATGTACGTTTATTTTGGTCACGATAAATCACGTCCTGCTTCAAACTCGTGTCATTATTAAAACGTCGATAACAGAGAGAGAGAGGCAAATCATTGTTCGACTATATATTATAGGAGATACTGTACAAAATATTGATCATTTAATGCTAGTGAAGAATCTAGTGCTATATAGGTACATAGGTATATTTCACACACTAAGTATTATTATTTTTACACAAAATTTATCTGATCAGCATATACTCCATTTTTCTGTAAATTCCACGTCATTTTTTTCAATAATTTTTATAACATTTCTCAAAATGCGCATACATAACGGAAGATAAATATTTTTATACCAATGAAAAATGTACCATTTAGTGGAAAGGAAGTTAAAAAGAGAGAACTAACAATTGCATATTAACCTGATATAACCTAACTAATATAAAACGAAATGAAAATTTCCTAACTTTGCTCTTTTCTTCAAGTCTATTATGATCCATAATGAATCTTACATCTTCGATATATTATATTATTAAAATATGGATAATTTTTAAATATTTGGTTTTTAATGTTCAATATAATTTTTACATTTCGTACTTCGTTATAAATAAAGTATTGAAAAAAAAAAATCTTTGAGATGTTTGAGGAGATAAATATCAGGGTTAAAATTATTCGCATAGTTCGATAAAATCATAACCAAAGGAATCGTATCAGAATTGTCCTGATTTTCCACGGACTAAGAAGTGAGCAAAGCGTGAATTCGGTAAATATCGCAATGGATTTGAACCGGATGCTAATGGCGCCGTTTCCTCAGTGGAGTCACGTGACGCGTAATAATTCGTCTACGACCGAAAGCTACTCGTCACTGGGAAATATCTAATGGCTATTTTCGTCGTCATTCTGAGAGTAAATATAATGTGCCAGCCGGTGACGATCGACTTTATGGCATATTAAATATGGAGCAGTAAATAAGATGTTATTGAGAACAAACAGAAAATAAAACATTTGGATAAAATCCGATTAGCGCATCTCGTAGACCATTTTTGCTCAGTTGGGCTAATATTATTATTGAAATATTGAAAATGTTTCTACGTAATAACTAGCTCTACGAATATAAAGTTTATAAGTTACGGGTCAACGTGACTTGTAATCATCTTATTTAACGTGAAATTGAGACTCTGACTGCAAAAAGGAAATCCATCCTAAGTAATCTATCTTATTGAATAAATTATTAAAATCATTGAAAACGATAGTAGCTCTCACGAAAATTTTACAGAATCAATGCGGAAATAACTGCTGTATACGTAATCATACGTTAATATGCGTGACCTTGAACCTACACGCGTCTACCACGGAAACGGAGTAAATTTCAATAATGGATCAACTTGAACAGCTCGAAGCGCCACTGAATAATGCATCGATTGCTTAAGGTGCGTTGCATTAGACGTACACACGCTTTTATATATATATATATATATATATATATATATATATATATATAT